CAGAATAGCAAGAGGCATTGTAACATAAGATTCACCACATAATGTTTCAAATATTTTACAAAAAAATTTTTAAAGGTAATAAAATGTCTTTTAATATATTCTATTACCTTGATGTAAAGCCAAATATCTTTAGCTCAGAGACTTCTCTAACCATTCTATTAATTGCTAGAATCATAGCAATAGCACGTTCAATCATATCAAGAGTTGAATTCCATCTTGTCTTTGAGTTAAGAATTGGATTCTTAAACTGTATGCCAAAAGATCTATACAATTCTTTTAACCTTTCGTGATGTTGAGATAAAAATCAAATTTTTACTATAAGCTTATGAAGTTTTTTAATGATTGGAAGTTGAGGAGTATCAGGCTGGTTAATAATATTAAAGTCATTATCTTGATCTGGTACCTCAGAATGCAGATGAGATAAAAAATCTTGCAAAGCAAGATTAATAATATGAGCAAGGCAGCGAACATGACCTTGCCCTTTAATAAAAGAACCACCAATACTTATAAAAAGTGTTTCAAATACTTCAAGGAGAGTGTTGTTATTTAAAGCATTATTGACGGTTATTCCAAGTATTTTATTAGTAATACCAAAATCCTCGCAAATACTAATTAAAGTATTTGCTATATTTATCCCAGAATACAATCCTTCAAATAGCGCCAGATCGAGTATGTAGCTTTGAATTTCCTAGTTCTTATTAAGCCAGTGGGCTGTAACTCCTAAAATATGGATAGGAATCAAAATTAGTCAATTAGTTGATTAAAAAGAATTTTCCAATACTTATCTAAAAAAGCCTTACAGCTATTACTAGTCCATAGATCTGTTGTTAAAGAAATCTTACTCGAATTATTTTCTAACATGCTTTTTAGTAAGGTCTTTGATACTGAATATCGTCCTAGCAAATCTCTTTTAATAGTTCTTGCAGATGGAATTTTAATGCTACTTTCTAACTTTCTAATTATTTCAAATAACTTAGAAAAGCTTTCTGATTCGATGGTAATAAATGGAAGACTATCCTTTGCAATCCATTCAACTAACACTTCTCTAAGAGAATGTTTACCAGACTAAGAAATTACAATAGTTGAATCTTCAGAACTAAGAGCTAGGATATTCTTATTATAAACATTAATAAGATGATTGTGCAGATTGGATGTACTACTATTATTTACAGTAAGGTACTTGGTTTTTGTTATGTATAGGCTGCATTTGAATTTTTTTTACCATCTTTATCAATAGGAGGTTCAAAATAGAGCCATACTAAAAACGGATTTGATAAATGCAAATTACTAGCAGATGCCATTATTCAAAATTAGGAGGGTGATTTAATTTGCAGATTAGTAGTTTTTATTGTTTTAAAACTTTATTATTTTAAAGAAAACAATTCGCTAATGTACGTGATATTTATTATGATGAAAACGTAGCTTTTCTAAGTAGGTGCGCTTTTTCTATCTTATATTATAATCTTATTACCACTATATTAATAACTTATTGCAAATGGTCATGCATAATGGTTGTATATAACTATTGTGCATAATGATACAATCATATAATAATACGATTCATAGAATGATATGGTAATTATTAAAAACAAAATTTTTGTGATTAGTGATCAAAGTCCGGGTGAACTAATATTTTATATATAATTTGCTGTGATTTGTTAGCATCAAGGCAAAATAGATTATAGCTTCTGTCTGGTAATCTCGCATGAAGATTAAACAATGATCACACATTACGGTTATGCATAAATATTAATGATTATACAAATAACCGTGTATAAAGATTAAATAGAAGATATGTATAAAAAATGTGCATGAAGATTAAATACAAGATTACGCATAATCATCATACATGAAGATTAAATATAAGATCACGCATAACGATCGCTGAAGATTAATACAAGACTATATATAATGATCATGCATTACTGTAATGCATAATAATTAAATACAAAATCACAAAAAATAAAAGGTTTGCTAATTATTTTTATATCAATAAACATGTTATTTAATATATAAATTCGAACAATTTTTATTATTAAATAAAAAAATATGACAAGTTATTGATATATGGATACCAAACAACTAATATCTTATAATTGTAAATACTCTTTATTAATTTAAACTACTTACTCTAAATATATGTTTATTTGAATAATAAATTTATTTAAATACTATATAAAAATTAAATGGTTTTTCTGAATACTTCAATTAATTAAATTACCCAAGCAAATAAAATGAATTAAAAATTATGAAATGCAAATCTAAACTTAAATAATTAATTCTAAATAGAATAAGATTTATTAGTAATATTGTGAATGCAAGTCTTTATAATCTGATTTTAATATTTTGAATAATAATTGATAATCTAATAATAATGAGCTAGTGAAATATTTATCTTTTAAATAATATTATTACCAATTACCAAGTACTGTATTTGTTTGGATTTGACTCATTTGTAGGATTCTCTTCATTCGTCTTATTTACAATTTTTCGTGAAAAATATTTGTACCACTCAAAATTTGAATTGAATGAAGAAGGTTTTTTTTACTAAAATACATTTAATTAAATTAAAATTTCACAGATATAATGTTAAAAACTTAAATAAAATTAAATTTGAAATGGCCATTTGAGCAAGGGATTGTAAGCCGCCACTATCATTATTATGATTAACTTTATTAGGTATAATTGATGAACAAGGCTCATGCTTAGAAATTGAACTTTCATCAAATTTACAACAGGACCAGACCCTATTTTACAACAAGATTTTATATGTCAGGATACAAGTATAAGAATACATATAAAATGATAATGCCAATAGCTAATATCATCTTTTGCATGATAATATAGTCTTGGAAGAATTACCTTAACATGTTCGATTCCAAATGCCAGCCACTGCATATATCCAGAAAACTCATTTCTAAGAGTAAGCAGTATTGCATCTTGAAATTTTGTAAAGTTAAATTGTATTTCTATATATCTTAATATTTGCTAGTCCTGAATATAGAAAAGTGTAAATAGGATTCTAACCTGTTATTTAATGACTTGTTAGAATATAGCATTTTCTTAACTCAGTATATTTGATAAAAAAAAAAAGGCTAATGTTAAAAAAATTACATTATCTTCAATTATACTAAAACGCATTCTTTTTGTTCTCAGTTCTGAATAATATGCAGAATATATTGAATCTGTACTCTTCAACCTCTTTAAAAAATATTTTAACTTAGCTAAAAGTTAATACGAACCCAGTGTCAAATATTTTTGTGCTGAGTTCCAAAGTATTGTCTAGAAAACTGAAAAAAGAAAACTGTTAATTTCGCTAATACTACTTTTATAATTACAACATTAGGATTCTATGTACTAAATTCAAAGAGTATAATACAGACCTTTCTAATCTGAATATGCTATTCTCAGTTGTCTAAAATCGTCTGATGCTCAAAGTAAATAAACCAATGTAAGAATTCTATGTTACTGAATCTAAACAGTATAGCACAGATCTTCCTAATTAGAATGTACTACCTCCTAGTTATATGAAATTACCTGATCTCTCAAAGTAATAGTAAACCTGTCATCTTAAAAATATGTTACTGAGACATACAATCCAAATAGTATATACAGATCTTTCTAATCTAACGTGCTACCTTCTAATCTAAAATCATCTTAGCCTTTGAAGTTATAGAATCTGCTACCTTAATAAATAAGGTCTATAAGTTTAAATAGCTATTTTGATAAAATTATAAAACCAT